TTTTTTTTTAACCGTTTGGCAACTGAGCTTGTTCAAACGATATCTTGGCTTTAAATGCATGTTTTCTACACTTTACCAAAGCTATGAGAACAATTCATCCCATCAGAAAACCGTAACCTGCGCAGCCAGGCTCTTGAAGGAGAAAGGAGGGGAGAAGAGAGAGGATCAATGGGTTAAAAGAAACACACAATTTTTTATAGTCCTTCCTTTATTCCTTGTTAGCGACGACTAACCCCCCCGTTCCCCCTGAAAAGCACGTGACGTGATCCCCTCCCCCAAGTGATGAATTGCGATTGGTCCATAATATCTGTGTCTAGTATCTACCATACAGGTGACTATCGCTTTTCGCGCTCGTTGATTGGTTAGTTAGGTGGTGAATAGCTAGCACTTTTCACCTTCAAGCAGCCGGTGAGACAAATCCGTCAGTTTTTGGTTTCTGCGTGGTATATACTAAAACAATTATTCACCTCGGTGAAAGTTCACTTCCACTTCGAGGAACAACTGCTAAATATATCTCCACACAGGTACATGTATTGGATTCACTGGGGAGTGATATCGGCCAACCTCATGAGTGCTCACATGTCGCATGGGGAAGGAGATTCCCTAAAACAGATCCAAGTCTTTGAGCCTCGTAGCATGGCGATTGATTTTTCGGAGCACCTGCCTTACCGTAGATTTTACTACGTTGAATCATATGATAACCCGAGTATCTTGGGAGCAGTTAACAAAGTTAACTTTCAAATGGTAAATATCCTATATATGCGACATAGTTGTTCAACCTCCGGTTGTTGGAACGGTAGATAATGCAATCCTCTGAATAAATCGCCATTTGATGGAAAGGGCAGTTAAGTAAATTTTAAAACAGTGGATAGTGTTGAAGGTGTGCTCTGATTGGCCCCTCAAACTTCGAATATCCTTAGCTATTTACCTCCAGGCAACATGTGCGAGATCTGCGCTCGAAAATATTGTGATCGTTGCAAGGGTCATAAATGAGTTTAAATCATCTCTTCCCGGCTATGTTATCTCACGGTTTTAGTATATACCAAAAGAACTATCCACCTCAGTTTTGGTGGCTAGCAGTTGATATTTACCAATAACAACCTGGTAAATAGTTGTTTTAACATTTAAAAATGTTTTTTCACGGTTATCTGCTGGATAGCGGTTTTTCCTTTAGATGTCATTATCCACCCTATGCGGAACTCGACTCAAAAGTTTACATTTACTTATAATATTCAAACTCAGCTGTTTCCTTTCACAGTACTAGTTCCCCTGAGTTTGTGGAAAGAAATCAACACTAGACTTGGACAAAAAGTGTGGCGAAAAAATAAAATAAATGGATAAATTAGATCTGGGTAGTGATACATTCCAGCGTAGCTCTTCTTCCTCAGTTTCCAGGTCAAATTGGAATTCAAGTCTTGAGGACTATGGGTCTGAATTATCCTACGGCGTAAAAATTGGCCTTGATTTACGATTTGTTTTACTGAGTTTATTTTGATTTCACTTTTTTCGTTTCAGACTAGTAAAGCATTCTCATATAGAAAAAGACTGCTCCCCCATCCATACGCAATATTCGTGTTTCAAGACATTTTATACTATAGCGAATGGTCAACAGATTCCATCTTAAAATTCAACCTTAGCAATTATGATAGTGTCAACTCTACCTCGAATCCACAAACTCTACGATCGCATGCGAACTACGCCTTAGATGTTAAAGTTGTCCACAAGAACATACAGAGAGGTAAACAATAAATCTTTAGCCCTAAAATGAATCTACAATTTACCAAGATATCCTTATTACGGACACTGCAAGATGTTCAAAATGTAAGCGTCTTTGTGGTTTTGTTGTTGTTGTTGTCTCTGGTGTGGTTTTCCTTGTTGCTATTGGTGACATTGTTATTTCCGCTTCTGCTGTTACTGTTATTAATACTTTTTTTTATTAACTCTTAAACTCACGTGGGTGACCAAGACAGAATTTCTCCTTACATAATTTCGAGCAAAATAATGAGAAGAAAGGAAACATCAATTAGGGGATTATTAGTTGATCCAATACCGAATTCTCCAAACTAATATCACAAGAATTGCATGGAAAAAAGTAAGGAGAAGTACTATCAAGCTCATTAGGGTGAAAAGGTCAAAAGGAAGTTGATGCAGTGACATTTGAACCATCGTTAATTTTAATAAATAACATCGGTCATAATGTTAGCTACTTCATGCAGATAAAGCTTTAAAAAGACCCGTCATTATTTATCACCTGGGGAGAGGGGAGGGGGTTTGGAAGATTTTGGTTGAGTCATGATAAAATCTACCTGATTTCCACATAGCGCTCTGTAATATTGTTAGAATCCCCTTTCATAAGCAGTCAATTTTCAATAGTCCCTCATTTATCGATCCTCTATTAGCAACGACTGTTCCTTCCTCCGTTCCTACCGAAATCTACGTGATCCCTCCCCCAAAAAGAAAAAACAAACAAAAACAAAAACAAAAAAGTAATGCACATCCCCCGCCCTGGAAAAGAAATAATGACTGGTCTCTAATATGGTGGAATAAGCTGTCAGGAATTTTCAACAAAATGGCCAAGAGTCCCCCTGAATCATATACTGATAAATTGCAGGACATAATTTGTGCACGCGGTTGAGGCCCTGTACTCATCTTTGTTTGGCTGACACAAATAGACGATTCCAGTGCGCCTGTCCAGACAACATGAAGACTTTAAAACAGGCATCCGGGAATGTTACATGTCTTTGTGAAGGAAAAGGGTGCAAACACGGTAAGTATAATATTGTAAACTACGGAAAACAGTCCGCACATAATTCGTTTTATGATTGCCCCTTTCCTTCAAATATATTTGATAAGCTTTTACTGAGTCAATCACCTGGGCCTAGTTGTATAAAAGGCGGATAACTATCCATCGGATAAATCGCTATCCAGCAGATATATCGCTATCCATCGGATAATTCGCTATCCAGCAGATATATCGCTATCCAGCGGATAAGCGATAACAAAACGTACTGCACTATCCACCGGATAAAGATTCATCCACTAGATTTCGTCATCCAACCTTCGAACAACCGGGGCCTGGTCTAAAAAAGAGCCCTAGCAAATAAGAGAACTTAATGCCTTTAAGCATGTATCCTCTTTTAATCCTTTACACTCTAACAACAGCATACATTTTCTCCACACTTTTCTCAATACATCTCTTAAGGTGCTGACAAGGAGAATTTGTTTAACAATCAATCGTCATTGTTTTACACAGAGATGCCTTCGCCTGCGCCTTCCAAATCAATGACTCCTGTGTACCCAGTGTTTTCGTCTTCAACTCCGACGCAACGTTCATCATTTATTTCACCATCCATTCCTGTGCGATATTCAAAGCTGTCTTCGTCTTCCGTATCATCACCGTCTTCAAAAGTTATTTCATCTTCTACTGTGTCACAGCATCTTATGCAGCTGCCTTCGTCTTCCGTGCCATCGCCATCTACAAAAGTGATTCCATCCGCTACGGTGTCACCGCATTCTTTACAGCTGTCTTCGTCGTCCCCTATGCTATCTACAAAATTACTTTTGCCTTCCAGTTCCTGGTGGCCTTCAAAGCTGTCTTCCTCTTCTTCACATTCCTCAGGAATACATTTGTTGTCCACCGCACTACAATCATCGCCTTCTTCTAATCTGGTAAGACAATCCTCAGAATTACTAAAGCCATCCACTTCACAGACTCGTTCGCACGTGTCTTCCTCTAACTCTCCCCGACACTCGACTTATCCAAGTGACCAGACGAATAACACACTTGAACCCACAGCTAACGCCCGCAATGCGCAAGAAAACACGTCCAAGCGTCCCTATTGGGCCATAGGCGTGGCAGTTGCTGGTGTTATTCACATCTTAGTGGCGGCTTACATTATTCGTAAGAAGCTGTGGCAAAAAGCAAGACGCCAGCAAGCGTCCGTTGTTTACGACGAAACCCAATCGCAACAAGACGTACCACTTCCTCAGTTAGAACAACAACTTCCAGAAGAACAACCATGAAGCGTCATAAATCGATAAAACATTCATTTAGTAATTTGGCCGTAGTGTGCATGGCATTAAACATTTCCGACCACACAAATTAAAATAATTTAACTGCGATGAAAAGCAACAGGTACTAATGGAACACTCACGTGTATACTGAATTACTTTGATAACTAATCATTTCTAACATAGCGTAAAAATTGAAATATATCTTACGCAGAAGCCAATGAATCACGGAGACTCGCTTAAGAATTTTCTTCCAAGAACATGGACTGCTTCCGATTTTAGAACCTGTCCCTGTATAGAAACAGCGCATTAAAAGGAAATTGTCCACTGCGTGTTGTTTTCGATGTCTTTCCTCTCCAAGATAAAATCCACTTCAAAGCAACGCGTGCAGGAATTTTTAAATTTTCAAAATCAAAGAAAAGTTCAGTTTTTTCAATAAAACTTACTCAGCGAACAAAGCTTTTTTTCGTGATCCTCAGGAGACCGTTTTAGAGTACAACTGATCGAGCTTAGTAGCCATATTTAATTTTTTTTTTTTTAACCACAAGATCGTCGGGATTCAACTGATTTGATTCAAATATCGGGATAACAAAATCATAATTTGAAAGCAAATGTATAAGTCCCAGTTAAATGTTAAATGAAATAATTACTAATTAGTGCGCTACATATCCCACGCCATGTGTCTAATAATCGAAAAACCAAAAGATTCATGATTTTGTCTCGTTTTATTCGAAAAGACACTTGACTAAAGATAAATAAGACAGCATTTCATGCTATTCATTACAAAAATAAGTGCAATACTAAAAATCTGCTTTAAAGTCGCCAAAACTCTTAGGTAACCATGCATTTTACCCAAGTGAGCAGAAAAAGGCGTTAAATCTCAATTGATGTTGCGGTCTCGCAAAAAGTAAAATTTTAAAGGAAAATCTAGAAATTTCACAAAATAGACAACTGTTTAACAAATATAATATTTTCCGTATATCTCATCGCCGTTTGGGTTTTCCGTTAGCTGAATGCCGTTTTGTTCTTTTCAGTTTTTCTAGGTTTTCCTGCACATTTTCGCTGTGCGGATCCAGATTCAATGCCTTTCTGTAGCATTTCTCAGCTTTGCTGTGTTTTCCCCATCTGTGGTACAACACCCCTATTAAAAAAAAGCAAATAAAAGGCAAGTTTGCATTCGAACTAATCCAGGTTTTCTTCAAATAAAATCACCTGATCAAATACCCCCATTTTACACCGTACTTCTCTTCCGGGTATTTCCATCAACTATTACCCGGATAA